AAAAAAAAAATTGCAGCATTATCAAGTTCTGGTGATTCCATCATTATTTGTCATTTAAAGAGAAACTTGAAAATGGTTTAGTGTGTTTTAGTTCTAACAACCTTAAAATAATTTCAGTTTTTCAGTGTTAAAATACTTAAACATCCTCTAACCCCATGCTAGGTGTCTGTGCTCGAAAACTGGAAGGAGATGGACTTGTTCAAGTTACAGACGATGGGCTCACACGCTGGGACGCGCCTTAAGAGCCTGGAGCACCTGAAAAGGTACAGCGCTGTCGCGACCCTCCTGTCGCTCGCGAAGTCAGCGTGGCATGAGGAAGGAACTTTTCTGTGAAGCTCATTGTAGCTTTAATATACAGTTGATAATATGTTCGATGGTAGAAATAATAAAAACATACAAAAATGAAAGAAAGTCCATAATTCTAAATTGTGAGATAGCTAGTTAATTCAGAAAAAATTTCATTTGTATTTGAAGTAAGTGGAAATTTACATGTTTTTTCACTATGCAATATACACAACCTTCCTTTCATATCCGTAATTACATTTCTCCAATCTAATTTTAAAAGCTGAATTGTACTCAGCATATACACGTGTTAGCATTTATCACACACCTCTATAGTGATACACAGGGGTTGTTCACACATTTTATTAAGAGAACTTGCTCTACAGAGACAGTCCTTTGTAGCTAGTTTTTATTGCTGTTACCATTTCCACGCAGTAAATTTCTGGAATGATGTTCACATTTTCAAGACTTTTAAAACACTCTGCCAAATTGCCTTCCCTGAGAACAGTCTGAACTGCAAAGTGTGGGGTGTCACTTTGAAGGATATTTGTGCATGCTCAGTTTTTCGACTCTCCGCAGCCTTTACCTGTTTCTGTTCATTTGGCTTTGTTTTTCAGTAAGGTTTACCTGGGCATCTTTGAGGGTCTCCTTCAGTCTTGGCTTTTGGCACTTTTCTAGGTATATTTTCATATATAGGATTACTTTTTATCGTGTTCTTCCACACACAAGTTTTGACATCTCAATGCCAGGATTTTCTTCCTTGTGTTTTTTATTTAAATTTCAGTTCTTCAGTGGGTCATGGAAAAATAGTTTCAATATGAAATATGGTTCCTTATGTCTTCATTTCTCAAAGTTTAGCATGTTTCTTTACATGAGAAGACCTTCTGGTGAAAGGTGCAAGCTAACATGCTGATTCAGATCACAGGTTGAGACAAGCGCTATACGGCGCTCACCGTCAGACTGCATGCAGCTGCTCTGGGAAACAGGCCCTGGCCTCATTTCACTGGTGTCCACCTTACAAGCGTTCCATACACTGGCTTCTCTCTTACGGACTCTGCTACTCTGTCTATTACTCCAAAGGACAACAAAATGGAAAAGCCATTAAGGAATGTTTAGGGTTTTGTTTAAATTGTGTTAATGAGCACTGGCACTGGCATGGGTTAGCAGGGTGGCCAGTCTTCTCAGGAGCAGAAAACTCGTCTGTCATTTCCAGTAGATCAGATTCCCGGGGTGCTGAGATCGTCAGTTTATCTTAGTCTGCCAGACCCCCCCCCCCTTTAATTTACAGCAAGGTGAGAATGAGGGTTTTATTGGGATATTTTAAATGTTCCAGGCTGCCTTTTATTTTTTTAATCCAAAGACAGGCTTTGATGTTAAACATGAAGTTGTCAAATGAAGAATAGCCAAATCTTCAAATTTAAGGGGAGAAAATTAAAATATAGGAGACTATTTGCTCCCTGTTCTCTAGTTTTGGAGTTTGGTTAGTCAGTAATTAAAATGTTTTAAAGTGGGGTCTCCTTGGTGGTACAGGGGTTACAGACATAGCACTATCAAGCTATCACCAGCCACTGTGGCCAGGGAACACAGCAGACCTCTCATGTCTCCCTACTGCTGCCCTCAGCAGTGGATTCAGTACATATGCTTTTCTGCTCCCCACTCTTGCCTGGTGACTCCTCTCACACCCCACCCCTCTGATCTATACCCCAGTTATTGTATGCATAAATAAATAAATCATTTTAAAAATTTCTAAAAGTGTTTTCTGCTAAGATTATAAAATATACAACTCTTTTAAAACACGTGGGGTTTTTTTTTTGATGTATTTTAATGTATCTCTCAAGTCTAAATGTTCATTTGTACTTTAGTTGTTCTTTTAGTTTTTTTTTTTTTCCTAAGATGGACATTAAGCAGCTTATACTTCTGCTTTTTCAGTGATTCTGTGGCATATCCTGACATAGAATCTGACATACATTCCTGGGACTCCTTTCTTGCCAGTGTTAGAAAAGAAACTGAGAAAGCAAGGGTAAGTTACAAGGCATTTTGTATGTCAGTCTGTGTGAAGGTTGTAATTCTTAGGAGATGCTATCAAATTGAGGTTGGTTTCCTTTTGGTTTTGAACTGTGAAAAACAGTACTGAAATTTTATTAAAAATTTTTCATGAAAATAATAATACTTTTTGAATTATATCTTTATTCTGCCTTTGTTGATAAGATTAGAGAACTTGATAAAATAGCAGAGCATTCTGATCAAGATCTAATATTGTACTTCTTTCAAAAAGTAATTGTTTTAATACCTTGCAGTTCACTGATGTTTCTGAAAAATTGTTGACCATTTTTAATGTTCAGTTAAGGGGAAAAAAATGTTCTAATTGTGGTTTTCCCTTGGAATTTATTATACTTAACACCTTTCCTTCTCTCTACAGTCTCAATTTGAAGAGCAGATTAAGGCAGTTAAAAGTGGTTCTCGACTCAGTGAACTCCCTAAAGTGCAGATTTCTGAGCTTTCATTTCCTGCCCGTAGCACAGTAAGTCTGTCACATCTTTTTTTTTTCCATTTTGAAGGAAAGAATACAGTGAACCACAATTTTTTCAACTGACCGGTTGTTTGTGGAGTATTGTGGTGGTTTTCTGGGAGTGTTGGTGCTCCTGGCCGTGCCCTGGCTTATGGAGAGTGGGGTGGGGGGGCACACCTGAGAAGGGATCAGGAGACACACTTGAATTACCTGTCTACTCGTGAGGTTGGGGGTAGTGTGGGGGTGTGTTGGGGAGTCGAGAAAGAACCCTGAGTTTCTGTCATTGTGGTGGGCGTGGGAGGGAAGGTCAGGGTAAAGAGACTGTGCTCAGGCTGGTTTTGAGATACCAAATTCTTATCACCCAGTTGGAGCTGACCATTAGGAAGTTTGGATTTCTAGGAGATGCTGTGGCACTTCAGTTCTGTGAGCACTGAGAGAAGGCAAAGGCCTGGAGTGAGGTGTAGCCTAAAGTGCAGACTCAGGCCTTAAACAAAAGGGAGTGTCACACAGTCTCACAGGGAGAGCCAAGACAGACCTGAGATGTGGAAGTGAAGCCAGCAGGTGGAGCCAGAAGAGCTCATTTGAAGAAAGCGGAAGTGACCAGCAGTGTCAGGTGTCCCTGGACTTAAGTGACCTAGAGACTGTTGGTGGCCATGGCAGGGCAGTTTGGGGGTATTGGTTCAGCTATTTTGATAAGTCAGCCACCAGATTTAGCTGGACATGGAGACGTCTGAGTAGGTGAGTATTGAAGGAAGGGGACTTCATACGTGAACCTTTTCATTTTTTAGATTTTACAGAAAACAATCACTGAGAGAATTACTTAGCAGCAGAGTTCTACCCTTGTTGTAACAAGTTATGTTATGAAAGCAGCATTTTAAAACAAAAACATTTAATTTTTTCAAATTTCCTGTGCCTTTGAGCAACCAAATTGGGCACAGTGATGTTTAATAGTCTTTCTTCATGGATGTCTCTTGAAAATGAACCAGCTACTGTGTGTATTCCTCCCAGATTCACCTTCAGTTTGTTCCTGAGTCTCCAGGCCATGATGATCAAGGCTCTTCAACTGCAAGTCAGGAGCCCAGAAACCAGACTACTGTCCTGAAGGATTCAGATCTGGTCTCTGCCAGTAATGGCCCAGGACCACCCTGCGGCCCAGAAGTCACTGGGCTGCCTAAGACAGAGAGCACTGACCAGGCCACTGGGCGAGAAATGAACCCTGGGGCTGATCAGAAACTGCCCACTCCTTCAGCTCATGCTCACTCAAGCCAGTCTCCCAAAAAGCCATTCAACAGTATTATGGAGCACCTGTCAGCGGCCTTCCCCGGTTACAACAGGTACAAATAGACATTGTCTGTGGTTCTGGTAATCGCTTTATTGAACTGAGGCTCCCCCAGTAGCAGTTACCATACCAGTTGTAAAAATATTCA